GCCACCACACTGCAGCCAGCAGGCTGCTCGCCGGGCCACAGATCCTCTCTAGAGTGCTGCTCTCTGTACAACGAAGCTGTTGAAGAGAGGGCTGCCTAACAGTCTGTCAAATTTCAAAATTCCATGATTTCAAATAATTTTTATTTCCTTAGTCTTTATATGTCATGAGTCCTTTTACTTCAGGAAGGCAATATAAAATGACCAGCATGTCTCACTTTCTATAATAGATAGTTGTTTAAAAAGAGTTAGTAAATCATCTTGTAATTGTCATGTCTTTAATTCTCTAGAGAAATGTACCATTTAAAGAACTTTGTTTCTGCCCTGGCCGGTGTGGCTCAGTTGGTTGAGCGTCCTCCAGGTGGTAGGTTCAATTCCCAGTCAAGGCACATGCCTGGGTTGTGGGTTCAATCCCTGGTAGGGGGGTGTGCGGGAGGCAGCTGATAGATGTTTCTCTCCCACATCGATGTTTCTCCCCCAGCCCTCTTTCCCCCCACTCCCTTCCTCTCTCTCTAAAAAAATAAAAATAAAGAACTCTATTTTTCTACAAAGGAAAAAATCTCCAAGTACTTGTTTCAACAGTCTGAATTTTCATTTAGGAAGACTTTTTAGCACAGAACATCTATGTAACACTCAAATCTACTGCTCTTGTTAAAATGTGCAGAATGAGGGTATCTGCTGAGGTTGCATCAACCAACTCCACAAATGTGGGGAAGAACAAAGCACTCTCTGTTTCTCAGAAAGCAGACCCAGTAGACAGGGAGTTCGGGGGACACTTGTGCAGGGGTGGAGAGCGCACACACAGAGCTGGTTTTCTGCACTTAACCTACTGGTTGTCAACCTGAGAGGTAGATTAGAATCACTTAAGTACGAGGAAGAAGAGACCTGTCAAACGTTCCAATGTCTGGGTCCCAACCCCATAGATTCTGAATGATTGGTCTGAGTTAGGACCTGGCCTGTGATATTTTTCTTTTGGGGCTCCAAGGTCATTCTAGTCAGTTGTATTTAATACAGCTAGTATGTAACAAGCTGATCTGAAATAAAAAGGGGGTTATCCTGGGAGCTCCTCTGGCTGTGACCAGTCACCCTCCATCTACACTAGCCGTAGGAATTTTATAATACTCTATTTCAGTCATCAGTCTTTGGTATTTTTATGATGTCCTTCTTCAGGCAAGGGCAGGTTTTACACCCACTATTACTACTAACAAAAGAGACCTAGAGGCTTCTTGAATGTGACAAATTTGGTATTTCTTCCCTAACACGCTGATGACTGAAGAGAGGGTGTCAAAAAGGATCATCCAGAACGTAGGTTGTGAAAGTCAACTGGCAGACAACGTAGTAAACTGTCACTGGTGCTCTTGGCTGAGTCAAGGACACTGGCACCTGGCATCAGCTGGAGCATTATTGAAGCGAAAGGAAGACAGAGCTGCCCTAGGAGCCAACTGTCCAGCTATTTGGAAGTCACAGGCTCTGTGATTTGGCACAAAGAACCTGAGCAAATAGTAATACTGACCATGATCATAGCAGCTGACATTTATCATGTGCTTACTGTATATCCGATACTGATTTATCTTACAAGGCAGGTTGAGTATCAGCCCCATTTTACAGGTGAGGAAACCGAGGCAATGAATAGATCACACAGCCAGTAACAGGGAGAGCTGAGATTGGAATGTACAGAGAGCCTGTACTCTTAGCTAGTACCCTGACTGCTTACTAGGAAGTTACTTGGGATTAAAAAAATAATTATAAAACATTTTCTTATGCTTTTAAAAAGTTCAAAGGATTTGCTGCTGCATTTTAATTTATGATCTTGATTATTTAATTAGTTTGCGTACTTCCCATGTTTGCAAAGAGCATGACAGGATGAGCACAGAGATCGAGAATTTGTCCCTTTAAGTTTCTTCTGCCTGGTAGAAGTATAATATTCGATACAAATATTTTAAATTAATTTTATGGTTATTTAAAATAAAGAATAATTGTTTGAATAAAGACTAACTAGAAAAAGAGACATATTACAAGTTGAGGGACTCAGGTTCCAGTCTTGCCTTTGGCATGAAACCACTGTCTGCATTTGCTAGAGGCCTCAGTTTCCCCAAGTTTATTAGAGTGCTCCTTTCTTTAACTACAACAGTGCAGCATGTGTAAAGAGTTGTTCTGTGAACTTAAGAGGCATTGCCTCTCGAGAGCAGATGGCTGGGGCAGGTTGCCAAGGGGCTAGTTTCTCCATCCTGACTCTGTAGCTCCTCCCTCCGTGTCTTGGCTGTGCACCAGCCTAAGCTGTCACAGAGACCTGCTTGAGTTGGCCCGCACCCAGCATGTTATTTACCAACAAGAAAATAAAAGCTTAAGGATGACCAAGTTCTCTTAAGTAATATTCATAAAAGCATGCTATGCCCCCTCTAATTTCCCCTGAAAGCACTTCCCATGTTTGTAAAGAGAATGACAGGATGAGCACATCAGCGCGTCATACTTCCCGAGGCTAATGTGATGTGTGGGCTGGGAGCTCATCAAAAATCACCATTTTATGGGAACCAGTCAGGTTTCAGTGCCAAGTCTTGTTCTTAAGCAGCAAAATGCCTGCTCACCATGGTCTACAAATGTTAGTGTCCCGAAATTATAGTGATATTGTTATTTTAAGGTATTTGACAACAGAAGCAAATGGTAGGTTCTCATTCATCACATGCATGCAATGACCCTTCTGTTCAGGAAAAATAAAATGTGACAATTTCAAAAATCACTATTAAGAAGTATAATCACTTTTGTCTTTTTCAGTCTACCATGCAAACTCATGCAGACCACAAAAAGATTAATAAATTATTTTGTAACTTTCCACCCTAAACAGTATGGTTGCTTCCCCAAATTATTTACTCATTTGTATATTCAAAATTACTCACTAAGGTCCTACCAGGCAGGAGAAACTTAAAGGGACAAATTCTCAACCTCTGTTATAAAGTTTAAAAGAAATTTTTGGAGGCCTACAAACTTCTGCAAATCCATTTATTAAATATCCAAGAATTGGTCACCTTAGTAACAACTGAGGTGTGTGCTAAATGCTAAATATTTATTAAATAGCGTTGAAAACTGACTTGTTAGTTGCTTCTCTAAAAATTTCAACTGCCGCCTCTGTCTCTCCTCCCCTTTGCAATGAGTGCAACTATGCCGTGAAATAGCATTCTTTCAAAGGCGGCTTTACGGCTTTGGAGGAATAAGCTGGTTTCACAGCCAGCTTTGCCACTGCTGTGGAAAACAGAGTGCACATGCAAGCCAGCTGAAGTCATAGGAACTGCAACAATCAGGGCTGTGGGGCCTCCACTGCTGCTGTCAACTCGCAATTGGAACCAGCTTTCCCAAAGCACAGCCCGAGAAAGCAGGACTTCCTGTCCACAGCTCCCGACCCACTAGGTTCATAATTAGGCCTGGTACAACCCATTAGAGATCAGACATATGAAAACCATGATGAACCCAAACGAGAGTTTCTTCTGGTTTCCAAGTTTTGTTCTGCCTGGCTCCCTCCCAGGCCTGTGATTACTGTCACTCACCAGTTAATAAGGAAACAGTTTCTGCTGGGGGACAGGAGCCCCAGGAAGGCTTGACCCAAGGTTAAGGCAGGTTCAATCCAGCGTCCTTCCTTTCCTCCAACCCCTGGATGTGCAATTGTATAGCTGCTCCAATTCTTATCCTTATCTCGGTTACTTCAGCCTTATCAGTCACTTAGAGATAAAATTACTTTGGCAGAGATCACAGAAAAACTACTTAGAATATTAATAAACTAGAACCAGTCAATGAAAATTTTTCTTGGCACTCCAACCTTAATGGAGAGAGTCTACTTTCAGGAAAGCAAGCTCGAGTCAGTAATTTAGTTTAAAAAACCCCAACTTTCAGGATTTGGTTTGAAATTAATCCAGATGTAGCCCAATTTCTTACACCTCTGTCTAGATCTAGAAGTTAAGATGTAGTAGAAGATCAATTATTGCAATGTCCACTTAATTGTCAACTCTTCAATGATCACTGAGACACTACATACAGTAGAAAAATGAATTAATCAGAGAGTTGAACAAAAATGAGCTCATCAGACAAATTACCAGCATATCCATCACATACAAGTCACTCTTTCTGGTGATGCTGCAATGACAATGCACTAGCTGTAACTTTCACCTTGAAAGGTCCTTGAGATCCTTAGGTGTATGATTTCCACACAAAGAGAAACTGTGATCTGATTTTATTTTTTTGCCTTAAAGGTTCAAGTCAAGTTCTGTCTAGTCAGTGACACTTTCCCTAGCCCCTTGAGCCAATTTCTCTTTTGTCTTCCACAGTGAGCCTCTAGGCCCTCTCTTTAGCACAGGACATTCTGAACCTAGGTCATTGCTGGAAGGTAAATACGCCCCCACTAGATGCTGCGCTGCTGCCCTGAAGGCAGTGACTGCGTCTTACTCATTTCTGAAGCCCTCCCTTCCCCATTCTGAAATTAAAATCCAGAACTGAATTCAAAATAAAACAAAAACAACACAACCTTCTATTGTCTTAAGTGTATTATCAATTTGTTATTTAGGAAAAAAGATGTTTTCAGAAAAAAGTATAGCCAAGTGATGTACAATATTTCAGAGAGTAGGAGAAAACTCAGGGGGAGAACATTATGTGCAAATCAGATGCTCAGCAAAAATAAACATAGGGCTCTAAAATACTGCTCAACTATCACCATAAAGCTCATCCCAAACTAGGGCAAATTTAGATTCATTAGGACATTCTTTGAAAAACAGCAATCAATTTTTAGATAAACATATTTTTAAATTAACTTGTCCTCTAATAAAAGCTATTTCTTAAAAGCACCTTAGAGACCTACTTAATGAAAAATCTAGCTAAGTTTAGTAAAAAACATTAATGATTAAATTTAAAGTAATTCTGGTTAACTAAATTAACTAGAATGTTCCACCGTCAGGGCCTCACCTTCAATCTGGTACTGAAGTCTACTTGTTAAGAGCAAATACAACTCGGACAGCCCTTACCTTCGTGAATATACATCTTTTGAGCATCTTCAGGATGAAGTAACCCCAGTAAAGGTGAAGAACTTGAAGGACCATGAGCTGCAGGTTGAGGAAGATGTAGGAGAAGAAAGGCTCGAGGTAGAGCATAGGTATAACCAGCGTGCAATACAAAATCCTAAAAAAAAAACAGATGAGAGTATTTCATTACAGTACAAGTACTTATGGATTTTCAGTGAGAAAACTGCTATTTTTTTTCTCCCAAGCATTCAACATTTATTTCATTTCTAATGATGTCCAGGAAACTCTCAATAGAAAACAATATGATAACATTACCTTTTATATTATTGGCAAGCCACAAAAAAGTACAGCCTGCCTCCTGGGAGAAAAGTTAAAGCAAATGGAATTTTTATAGCACACAGCCTGCACTGCAGTGTTCCGGTACCTCGGTTTCCTTTTTGCAAACAGAAGAGCATACGCTAACCCTACCCACCTCCCCAGATTTGTAGAACAACTAAGATAATGCATGCTTACATGGGTTACTATTGCCTTATGATAGTCTCATTTATTTGGCATCAAAGGTGAATGGGGAATTCTACAAAGGCCAATTTTCTGGATAAAAGAGGCTTTTAAAGAAGTAAACTTTCTATTATTACTTCCACTTTCTAAAGTGAACTGCATACTGCTTTAATTTCATAAACAGACTCCTGGACACAATTTGAACTGCCCTTGAAGACCCAGGATACACCGCATCTTCAGATATAATACTGCTGCAACATGAAGGGCTACCTACTCCCTTCCCAAACCTCATACACTACTACCATTTTAGAGTTCTCAGATACGTTTGTTTGTAAGGATTTTATTTTAATTATAAAAATAATTTATTCCTATAAAATTGGGAAGATTAAAAAAGCAAGTTGCCCATAATACTATCATTTTATACAAACAGCATTGTAATTGTTGTGTATGATCTTTCAGCTTTATCCTGTACATACTTATTTTTTAAATTAACATATAGTAAAATTGACCATTTTGGGGGGTGCAGTTCTATGAATTATAATATATGCATAGGTCTGCGCAACCACCACCACAATTAGGATACAGAACAGTTCCATCATTCCCCCAAACCCCAGTGCTATCCGGTGTAGTCACACCCATACACTCCACCATGCCTAACACTGGCAAACCTTATCTGCCCTCCATTCCTTTAATTTTATCTTTTCAAGAAGGCCACATAAACGGGACCATACAGTGTGTCAGCTTTAGGACTGCCTTCTCTCACCCAGCACAGTGCCTCTGAGGTACACCCAAGTTGTCATGGGTCTCAGTAGCATGTTCCTTTTCCTTACTGAGTGGTTTTTCATTTTATGAAGGTACCACAGTTTACCTGTTCACCTGCTGAAGAGCGTTTGTGTTGTTTGCGGTTTTTCACAATTATGATTAGAATTGCTATAAATATCCACACACGGGGTTTTTGTGGGACCATGTTTTCATTTATCAAGGGTAAATACATAGGGTAGAAGTGTTGGGTGTTATAAGTATACATTTAACTTCTCAAGAGACTGGACACCTGCTCTCCAGAGTGCCTGTGTTGCACTGCCACCAGCAATATGCGAGAATGCCAGCTCTTCCTCACACTTGTCAGTACTCGGATTGTCCTGTGGAGATCTTTGCTACTGTAGTAAAAGTTACACTTGTGGGACTTTATGTTCAATTTCATTTAGTTTTAAATAAAAAATATTTCTCACTGTTTGAACATACTGATGATGGTCTTTCCCAAAGTGAAGGTTATTTCTTTAGAAATGTATATTTCTAAATGTAAGATCACTGTTTCAAGGTGTCTATTAAAAGTATACAAATTCAAGGTGTGTATTAAAAGCTATTAAGACTCTGCCATAAGTTTTCCCAAAATTATAACAATTTATAAGGCCACCAGCAATTCATGAAAGAAGAGTTTCAATGAACCCCAACCAGGATCAAATGGATTTAAAATTTAACTTAAAAAACAAAACATTTTCAACTCTCATTATTTGTAACGCTGACAGTTCCCTGTGTCTGCTCAGTAGTTCCATTTCCTCTTTTGTGAGTTATCAGTTCTTTATCTATTCAAAAAGCAATTATATGAACTCTGTATAACATAGATAATAGCCACTGATCCATTTTACTTATGAAAATATTTTTTTAAAACTTAGGAATTACAGAAAAATATAACGAGGTTAAGTAAAAATCACCTAAAATCTCACAACTCACAGGTAACCTAGTATATTTTGGTGAATCTAATTCAAGACATCGTTCCTAAAAATAATCTTAAAGGTGCTTTTTCCCCCCTTCCCCATTACCACATGATTTTATATAACAGGGATCATACTATTCATGTGATTTTTGTACCCTCCTTTTATCACTCAACCATATGTTACAGAGAGCTTTCCATGTCAATGAATATAACCTACATATCAAGGGTCTGAGAACATTTTGTAAAGGACAGATAGTAAGTATTTCAGGTCTCTGGGCTATTGAGTCTCAGTTGCAGCTACTCAACTCTGCCACGGTAGTGGGAAAGCAGCCATAGAAAATAAATACATCAATCAATGGGTATGGCTGTATGCCAATAAAACTTTATTAACAAAAACAGTTCATGGGCTAGATTTGGCCTGTGAGCCACAGATTGCCGACCACTATCATTCTATGCAATAGCTGCACAGAAATCAATAAAAACATATTTAAAAAAATTTTTTTTAAATAATGTCTGTGTTCTAAGAAATAACAAAGGACATGATGTTTGCAACTTTCAAATGGTTCAGAAAAAATGTGTGTGTGTGTTGAGAGAGAGAGAGAAGGAATGACAAAGTAAATAGGACAAAATGTTAACTGGTAAATCTGGATAAAGGACATGTGTGAGAGTTTTCTATAATATATTTGAAATTACCCAGTAAGCTTGAAATTACTTCCAAATAAATAAAGGAGTAAAGGAACTGGATACATTGTGAATAAGTCCCTTATCCTAAAATCCTATGATTTGAAGAAAAGAGATTATTATAGCTGTCCTTTATAAATTTATACACAGAAGTGAAAGGAATGCAGGGTTGTGTTAGGGAAGGAGCTCTGCTGAGGACACACTGTTGAGCGAGACACTGAACAAACACATCGGGTGAAATGCAAGGTCTCCTTCACAAGGTGTGTAACTGGAAAGTCTGGTTCCAAGATATGCATCTGCAGTGGAGGCTCAGGGAGCGGCCCCAGCTTCCACAGAGCCATTCTCACACTGCACACGTCCCTCCTTTCCTCTGGTGGTGTGACAGGGCCCCGCGCCATCCCGGGAGGGTGGTGGAAGCCAACTAGGGCACCATGAGACCATGCTCTGCCTCTGACTATCTGTCATTCAGCATCAAGGCCCCAGGCTTTATGGGGATAGAAGGTCCATGGTGTCCTCACTCTTGTCTCCTTCTGATGAACAGCAGCTAGAGCACTGCCGATGCTTTTGCCTGGTCTTTTTTTCCCCCTCCTTAAAACTGTCCTCTCTCTGATTGCCATTCTAAGTATTTATATGTTCTCATCACCCACAGAATTCCCCTTTGCATGAAGCTTCTCAGGGTTCCGTTTCTGCACCAATAGGAGCTGAAGCCCAAAGTCCAGTGAATCAGTGGTGGAAAAAATAAAGCCCCACAAGCATATCTGTCCTGGAGACTAGGGATTTGAGTATTGTTTACAGTTGGAAATGATTTTTTTTTCTTTTTGGAAAATGAAAAAAAAACAGGTCAGTATGAACAGCCTTCAAATATAAAGTGGTGGATACAAAGGCCCCTCCTACTGCCTTATGAACTCCTGCAGGGTGGGAATCTGAGCTGTGATGAGTTCAAGAAATGAAGTGATGAGATATCACTGCCACCTGTAAACTGCAGAGAGTGCTTCTCCCTGCAGAGGGACCAGCCTGGGCTTAATCATTACCTGTTCTTGTCATTTATGGAGGAAAACTGTCAGAGTCAGAAAGTCATTTCCCAACCTTTCAAAGGTCTTTCTAGCCTAATGATTCTCGGGTGGCATTTGTATAAGTAGATAAATACATCCAGTAATTTAAAAATATTGAAGTCATTATTTTAAAACAATAGTTGGGAATACAGTGTGAAAAACATAAGCCTGAAATTTAAACATCTTTGAATAAAAATGCAAACAAATGGGGTAACCAGGTAATTCGATTAAAGCAATTTGGACAATGCCAATTGGAATTTCTCCCTAATGTTGAGAGTAACAATGTTTAGAAAATCAATGTCATTCACTCTTGCTGACCCTGACTGAGAATCAGCTAAATAAAATCCTGTAAAGAGCAGGAGAGGAGAAGAGGGGACACAGTGGTACAAATATAAAGGAAACTCACCGGGGAAAGCAAATGTGCTTCAGGCTGGGGGAAATGAAGGAAAAGCCAAACAAAGGGAGAGACAAGTGTAATGTACAAGCTCCAGTTCTTTCTCTCAAAGCCTCAAGAAAAATTTCAGATGGCTCAGCTCTTCCCTCCTCAACCTTTTATCTCACCCCCAAATGTGCAACAAAGGCATTTAGAAAAGAACAGAGCAACTAGGTTGCAAACTGCCTCCCACAGCACCTCTAAAATGTCTGAATCCTGAAACAGGTCTATCATCTGCACGTTGTTTGCTCCACAGTAAATTCCAACAGATCCGGACTAATAAAATACCCTTAAAAAATGAGTGTGCAGAGTTACAAGACTGAGACAGATTGTTGGAACAGGCTAACAACAAGGAACTGACTTTTCCTCTTTGGCATCACAAGATGATTATGTAACGTGTTGAAGCTTATGGGAAGACCATTTAAGCTAGAGCAATACACTGCAACTGAGTCTCTCAAAAAACATTGAAAACCCATCTCCCAAACATCCAACAACTCTGTGAGGTTTTCCTCAACCTTCCAAACAATGCAGATCAGTCAACGTCAGTACAGAAAAATTTTTACCAGCAAAGAAACTTTTATAGGCAAGTCTTTTAATACTGGTTTATTCGCAATCCCTCTAACTCCCTCAAGACAGCAGGCCATGGTCTGGGCTGCTCTGCTCTCTGAATTCAGTGAGGTATCAAGATCAAGAAAATGCCAAATGTACGCGACTAATTCTCCTTGAAATCCAGAAATGCTGGCAGGAGAAGGAGTTCTTAAACGTAGGGTCTTTAAAGTCGAGGATGTGTGGGAAAGCAACACACCCTCTCCACAGTCACTCTGCCCAACACGATGTTCAGTTGTTTACTGGGCGAGAGTAAGCTTGCTTGCTGATTCTGAGACATCATGGGAAAGTCTGAGGTGAGCATCCACTGCTAAATCAAAAGTCAACCACAACAGCATTATTTAGAGGCTCCTCAAAGGGCTCCCTGAACTGACAGTTTGCCCGGTGTGTGCTTTAGAGTATGTCCACAAATTCTTTGAAACTACTCCCATCAAGAAATGGAGTCTAATTTTCCTCCCCTTAAATATGCGCTGGCCTTGCTGACCTGGATCCAATGAAGAAAATGATGTTGGAAGTGACTTGATGTGACTTCTGAAGTGAGGTTATAAAAAGAAAGACAGCATCTGCCTCACTCGCTCTTGAGCTGCTCACTGTGGAATTCCAGCTGCCACACTACGAGGCGGTCCAGCCAATGGAGACGCCGCGTGCAGGTGTTCCCGCCAACAGGCCCGGCTGAGGCCCTAACCAGCAGTCAGCGCCAGCGGCTGATTCTCGGTTACCTCAACCCTGTGAGTGAGGGTGCCTTCAAGAAAATTTCAGCTGACTTCCCAGCCACCATCTGACTGCAACCACATGAATGAAAATCATCTGGCTGAGGCCAGTCAATTCCCAGAACCATAAGAGATAATAATAATCAATAAATGTTGTACTTTTAAGAGTGAGGTCTGCAAACTATGAACTGTGGGTAAAAACTGGCCTGTAACCCATTTTTCTACAGCCTGTGAGCTAAGCTGGGTTTGGCACATTTTAAAAGAAACAAAACAAAACAAAGAAAAATATGCAACAGAGACCATATGTGGCCCTTGAAGCCTTAAAATCATTATTCTATGGCCCTTTACAGAAAAAGTTTGTTCACCGCTGTCTTAAACCACTACATTTTCAGATGGTTTGTTATGCGGCTACAGATAACTAGAACATGTGGAATGTCATAGGAGCCATCAGTGGGCAAATCCTGGGTGTAGGGCACCATGAAAGTCACACTGAAAAGCCGCAACCCAACTGCTATCTGCAAGGCAATACTTAGCCCATCAGCAATTACCATCCTGCAATTTTCTGATTTCATAAACACTCCTGCTCAGCCAAAGCAAAAGTGATGGTAATGTGGTTCATCAACAAGAAGAGTATAATAAATATGGATCTCAGATTTGATTCCAGATTAAACTTCAAAGTCTAAAAGCCTCATTAATAATTTTAGTAATAATAGCTGGCATTTCCTGAATCCTTACTATGTTACAGACACTGTTCTAAGTTATTTTATATGTATTACTTCAGCTAAGCGTCATGAAAACCCTTATTTCCATTTTACAGATGAGAACACTGAGGCACAGAGAAATGATCTAATCTATTCAAGATCACACAGGCAGTAAGTATAGAGTCAGGATTTGAATCCAGGACTGACTTGCATCCATGAACTTAACCACTGCTCTTTGCTTCTCCTCTCCAGAAAATGTCTCATCAAGACATGCAGTCCTGGTTTAAAGAATGCAACTAGCTTCTGTAGGGAGGGCAGCACGCTCTGACCTCTCTGACCAGACTTCCCTGGATGCTAAGGGATGTTAAGGGTGCTATCCATCCACCAGGAATCTGGCCCAGAACTTGGTCTCCATCTCTTTCCCCTGAAACTTAGGATCTTCAGTAGCACTAATTTTTCTGTTGAGAGGCTCTGAAACTCCTAGACTAGCCCCAAACTATGCTTGGTTATAAACTGTTCCTTCCAAACCATCAAAGGCTTCCTCACATTTTTTCCTGGTTTCTGTCAATCAACACATGGAAAATTCTGCTTGCCAAAGGAATGATTGTCAGGGAAGACACAATATAGGTTCTTCATTGCCAGCCCTTGGATCAAAAAAAATCAACAGACTGATCAAGAGCCAATCAGCATTAAAAGGATACATAAACCATTGTTAGGGCGAGTGATCACGGAGGGTGAAATGAGTATCAGTTTCCTCATCTGTGAACTGTGAGCGATAATACCTGTCTTTGATTTGTTGTGCAGACTAGTGCCAAGATATAGAAAGGGCCTGGCCCAGTGGCTGGCATATAATTAATGGTGGTTATAATCACTGCAATTTTGACAAAGAACATGCCTCTCCTTTAAAGGGCTGCTAACTGGCCAAGGACATTTCACTGGAATAACTGGAAAAGCTGTTGATCACAAGAAACATCCATATTCATGAACAAGACGGAGAGTTAAGAGCCGCTGCTCAGTCGCCGGCTTCGCTTCCATCTCTCTTTGGTATAAGCCTCTTCCACAGTGGAAGGTGTTGTTCTAATTATATGTAAAAATGGCTCCTTCATGTTCTTTTCTCCAACTGAACTTGGCACAAATAACTGGAAATCAACAAAAGGAAGGGCAGTGCTCTGACTTCAACGGCGTGCCAGACCCACCCCAGCACGGCGAGGCAAGGGCAGGGAACCATCTCGTCTACTCACCAAAAGGGAAAAATGATGAGACGGCTGATGAAAAATATGGCAGAAAAGATGAAGAACAGGGTGTTGCAGGTCTGCTTCCATCCAGCATAAGAAAACATTTTAGCAGACTGAAAACAAAGAGAGAAATTATATTCACATAAAATTATATTAGTGCAAGCTTTTTAAATTAAATATTTATAAATGCTACAATGTCTGGGATTGGCCTCAAAACAATGTGGGCGGCACTGTGAATGGGGAAATGGGTGAAAAGAGATGTGCAAAATTGGTAACTGTTCCACCTCAATGATGGGCCCATTGAGTCTGTTATGCTCTTCCTATCTTGTCATAATATAATGTTTAAAAAAAAAGGTATGTTAAAATATTACTCGTGTCTTTCACCAGCACTACAAATTAGCATAATTAATCTTAGCATGCATGTTATTTGGGCATTTATTTAATTTCTCCATTTCACTGGGAGGTTAGCTGGACTGAAGAAAGGCTGGGATATGAGTGAAGCCCTGGGCTGGGCTGGGCTGGGCTGCAAATGAGGCAGCTACTTTAAGGCAGAAAGGAGGCAATTCCTGGGTCTTGTCCTGGCTGAAATCAAGTTTCAAGCACTTGATTTTCTGTACTTACTTTATGCTACTCCATACTGCTTCCGTTTTGTGTTGAATAAGAAGAATTACAGAAAGGGCTGGTCAATGCAGCCTTAGAAGGTTAATTGAGGGAGCTTCTCTCTTGCATTATCCAGTGGGGTCCAAGGCAGAATGGGAAAGTGTCTGGAGTTGGGGTGGGAGGTGCGTAACAGTTACTGAGGGTAGCTCATCCCTTAGGGAGTGTGGCTTAGGCCTGGGCCGTTTCAGGGCTGAAGTCACCCTGGAAGCTCAAGATCCCTCTAGAGCAAGAGAAGCAACATATTTACACTTCAGAAAGGACTTACACTGCATTGCATTTTCCATACCTTTCCATGCTTAACATGGGGTAGAGATATGAATGGACCACAGGGTTGGCAGAGGGCGCAAAGGGGAATAATCCTGATTGCTGAGAGAGAAGGCTAGTATGCCAGGGGGTGGGAGATGGGTATGGGAAGAAAGGTTCAGAGGGAATGCCTGGAAGGGAGTGGGAGCTGTTTGAAGGGTCAGAGGTCAGGCCAGGGTGGGTAGCTAGAGGTGTGCATAGGTGTGAAGAGAGCCCACTTGTGAGGGCCAAGCAGCACTCTTTTGAGCAAATACACAGCCTATTCTGTCTGTGTGAAGATGGACATCAGACAGTAACCCCTTTCCTTTGCTAAGCATCAGTCAGGATACTGTTAAAGTGTTAGGTGTTGGACCTGAACTTGAACATGTGGACAATTACAGAAGATCAAGAAGATGCATAAAGAAGGAAAAAGGCTGCTTATGAGTAAAAATAGTACATGTGGAGGCTGTTTTTTTCTTGCAAATAAAAAGCTGAGAAATGACCCACCAACTGTCTAGAGGGATATGAAAGATTAATAGCCTCCATCCCTAGGAAGGTCTAAACAGGGGCAAAAGTTGTAGTATGTCTGGGTTCAATTAGAACTTGATTGAGAGGACAAACATTAAAAAAAAAAAAACTATTCGAGGAAGCTATGGAATAGGCACCCCTAGAGAATATAAAAAATAGGCCCCATGCCACTACTTAATGTTGTCTCAACCACCAGCTGATAGGAGGCATTGAACCTCACATTTAGATCATGACTGTGAATCAAGAATGATTCATGATCACTAACATCATGAAGCTGCTCTCTCAGTTTACCCATGAAAGGACCTGAATTTGACATTTCGCTTTGCTTTGTTTTTTACCTAACGTCCTCAGAACATTTTCTAACAGTAATGAGCTAAACTTTAAATATGCCCTAAGGGACAGATATGGCTTCTCATGTTACAGCTGAGGATAGAAAACAAAGCATTAAGTGATTTGCCCAGTTGCCTAAGGAGTTGCGTGTATCAGTGAGGGTCGGGGAGGGCTGGCAGGGACAACCCTGGGCTTATTTTCACTTCCAACGACTAACTCCCTTTAAATAACACAATGAAGCTGTTTTTACAGTGGACACACACCTAAGGCAATTGGACTGGAAGGTTTAGAAGCATCAGAATAGCATAAAATTCTTAAGTCATGGCCAATGTGGTCTTCATTTTCAGGCAGGGTTACTGAGACATGATCAGAGAACGGGATAATTACAACAGAGAAGGCAACATTCAGAGAGCAACACATGGAAAAACTGGAACAATCCTTTTGCTAAGCCATTTGCTGCCCTGAAGCAAATATAATAATCTTGACCTTCAGAATGGGATTTACATGTCTAATTATGATCACATACAAGAAACAAAACACTCTACACAGCTAATATTTTAATAGCCAGTTGCTTTCAAATGGCTTCAAATGACTTCTGGTTATGTCTAGAACAGGGTTTGACAAATTACAGGCCAGTCTATGGGCTGAAGTTGGTCAGCTCTTGACTTAAGAATGGTCTTCACATTTTTAAAGGGGTATAAGAAAAGAAAAAAAGAGGAAAGAATATGTGACAGGAGAGTCTATGTGGTGCACAAAGCTAGATTTACTATCTGGCCAAAAAGTTTGACCAAAAAATCCGCTGAACCCAGATCTGGAAGAACAAGACCCCATTACATTTCATTTCTCCCATATCAACCTATATTCAATCACTAGCACTTCAAGAGGCAACTGTGAATGTGAAATGGGTTGGCATACTTTCTCCAGCTTCCTTATAAATGAGTATATTTAAGTGATAACTAGGTGGCTCTGGGAAATGTGGCTCTAAGTACAGCAGGAGAGCTGGCAGGCAGGAAGACCACTGCATCACTGCCACAGGGGAAGCAGGGCATGCAGATACGTAACAGAATATGCAGCCAAAACAATCCTAATTTTGCTTGGCTCCTCATATTTTGTGTGGTTTGGGATTAGGGAGATTCTTCTTTTAATGTCCCCTGCTCCAAAACATTCCTTCCTTAGAAAATAAATATCATTTAAATAAATAACAGCTTTCATCCCGTGAAGTTGGAGGAGCTCAGGACAGTGCAAGCATCCAATGGATATGCAGCTTTGGGTCACATGAGTCTATGGTGCTGTCCAATGTTAAGAATCCATAGTGCCATGAGTCCAGGCTTTCCTTTTAGAGACTAGAGCTTATTCCATTTTCAAATATCTCAGCTTACTTCCTGAGCTACCATCTGCATGCAACTTCCTTAAGCAGAATCCCCAAAATAACCCCTCTGTCAAGTACCATGGAGAAAAAGGGTTGGAAAAGAACATTTAAAGGTTTCATTTCTTTGATCTTGAAGAAGGACCTGGGGACCCAGAGACATCTGTGAACTATGGGTGTTTTCAGGACAGAGAGCCCTGCTAAATCACTCACACACAATTCTTCCTGTGAGGAGTCACAGAAACCCAGGACGTATTGTTACTAGTGTTTTAATGGCAAACGTTTACCTCCAGCCAAATGTCTGCCACATCGTGCACAATCATGACCAGGGTCCCACTGCGAATATAATTAGCACACCAAGAGAAGCTCATCAAACTAATAGCAGCCAGGTGGTGGATGACATGAGCTAGAAAATCCTATATAATGAGGGGGGAAAGGAAATCATTAAGAAAATGCAGCTATTTCTCAATCACTGGAAGAGCTGATAATAATAATAATAGTAATAATAATAACTTACATCTGCATGTTTTGAAATTTATAAAATACTTTCACTTTAATTCTAAACATAATCCTTGTTAGGGAGATAAGACAAGAACTATCCCAACTGATAAAGTCACTTAACTTTGAGAGACCACTGAACAGCTGTCATCTAAGTCCTGACACCTGCTGCTCTTCCCACTGCTCCACATTGCATTTATGTACATGGGGCACATGCACGCGCGTGCACACAGACACACACACACACACAACCATACTCCTGCGTACATTTACATTTACTGTTGTGTCTAAAAACAAAGGAATATAGGAACATAGGAACATAACAAAACTACACAACCATTGAAATAAGAGGTGCTGCATATGAAAGAGGTAAATAAAAGTGGACTAACTCTATCAGCAAATCTAGGCGAAGGAAAGTTACCACAATTGAGTGTAAGAACTCAAAGGTTTTCTGCAGAGAAGGTATACAAATGGCCAATAAGCACGTGAAAATATGCTCAACCTCATTAACCATCAGGAAAATGCAAATCAAGGCCATAATGAGATACTACTTCACACCCACCGGAATAGCTATAATAAAGTAAATAAACAATAACAAATGTTGGCAAGCATGTGGAGAAACTGCAACCCTTGTACAGTGCTGTTGGGAATGTAAAATGGAGCAGCTGCTTTGTTAAGTAGCCTGGCAGTTCTCTAAAAGGTTAAACAAAGAATTACCATATAGCCCAGCAATTCCACTCTTAGGTCTGCACTGAAGAGAAATAAAACCATGCCCATGCAAAATGTTGTATATGAATGTTCATAGCAGCTTTATTCGTAATAGCCAAAAAGGTGGAAACAACCCAACTGATTAATGGCTGAACAAAATGTAGCATATTCATACAAGGACTATTTAAAAAAAGAAATGAAATACTGACACATGCTACTACATGAATACATTTTGAAAAGATTGTACTAAGTGAAAGAAGTCAGATACAAGAAAACACATATTGTGTGATCCCATTTATGTGAAATGTCCAGCAGAGATAAATCCATAGGGACAGAAAGTAGATTAGTAGTTGCCTAGGGCTGGGGAAGTGAGAAGAGATGGGAGCTGACCGCTAAAGGAATTTTTTTCTGAGGCAATGAAAATGCTAAAACTGACTGCAGTGATGACTGCAGAGCTCTTTGACTAGACTCAAAACCACTGAATTATGCACTTTAGATGGAGGAATTATATGGTATGTGACTATTTCAATAAAAAATGTTTTTTAAAAAACTTAAAGATTTCAGTTTCCTTGTGGCCAAAGTAAAAGAGCATACATCATGATGATGATGATGATGATGATATAATAATAATAATAGCCTAATTTATTGAGCACTTACTGTATACCAGGAAGTGCTTCACATGGTTTAACTTGCTTAAACCTCACAACAACCAGAGGAGATAGGAACTATTTTTAGCTCCATGCTAGAGACAAGGAAATCAAGTTTAGGGAGTTTAACCAACTAGCTCGAGATGTTAGTGAGCGTTCAAGCAAAGGATTCAAACCCAAGCAACCAGCCCCCAGAGCCTGTGCTCCACCCAACTCCTAAGAGCCTTATGCTTCTGAAGATACATGTTTACAAACATATGACATATATCTACATTTAATTTTGGAAAAAGTACTCAATGCACTTTGAAAATGATAAAGAGAAGTCAACTACAAAAAAATCAAAGATTTGATTGCCTCAAGGAATCAAAAAAGACAGAATAATTACAGGATCAACTTACCTGAGTACCTATATGAAGACCTAATAAAAATGATTTTTTTCAATTCTATCTCTTGAGAAAATGACTCAATTAGCTTCAGAGTTAACATTTCTATAATGTTCTACTACAAATACTTACCAAGGCACCAAAGCATGAATATAATTTGCACTATTATATGTGCTATAAAAAGCAAAAAAACTATGAACTGGAACTTAACACACAAAGAATACAATTTAGAGATCAGGATTTGGGGCAGAGGATAAGAACTTCTGAAAAAAAATGAACAAAGTTGCTTTGTAAATGAGAAACTTACCTTCCTCTTGACATCAGAGCCCAGGCTAAATAAGAGAGACCAATAAAAACTCATCTCCAGGATGTAGTACCAGTACTGGGATTGTAGCAAGGGCTGAGAAAAATGAGAGTATTCACCTTAATGTCATTTAACTCATTTTAAGGATAAAACTACTGTTTATACCTATTGATATAGCATTCCCAAAATCAAACCCATGACCCTCGACCCTTTGGCGCGCTGGCTGACACATGGAGAAGACAATTTGACTGACTTACAAAACAATAGTCATGACTTTTAAATATTTGGAAGAGGAGAGAGGAGGGCATATGGTGTCTTCTAAATGACCTCATCAAGTGGCGAGGAAAAGGTAAGGCCCTAATCTTCATGAGGTTCTAATAATTCCAGGATGTATATGGTAATCTCTAGGATAATTACTAAAATAATAAAAGTATACATAACTATACAAAAGCTATATAAGGGAAGAAGTGGAATAAGAATTTTTTTAAAAACCTGACTGTCCCATAAAAATGTAAGAAGAGAATACAAGGAAATGTATCAGGTGGTACAAATAGAAAATAAAATAGCAAGATGGTAAATTTAAACTCAAATACATAATCACGTGAACTGTAGACAAACTAAGAGAATGAGACAAATGATGGGTAAATAGGGATGGAAAGAACTGCTCAGACGTGAACAGAGTAGGGAAGGGGCTCAGACCTAGCTCAGGGGACAGCAGGAGGGCCGGATGGCGGGAGTAGCACCAGAGGTCCTTACCTGTCTGGGATACCCATTCCACACCTCTCCGAGGTCATATACCCAAGGTTTCTGGGGGGGGAAAAAAAGGAACCAAGAGAAGAAAAAATAAGTTTGTCAGAATCAGAGGCTGATTTCAAGAGAAAACAGTTTCCTCCTGATGTCACTGACACCAGGCAAATGCACAGTAGGAGCATTTCTGCCATCTTCCTGTTGCTCCCGCTGCATGTCTCTCCCTCTGTAGATACTCATATGTTACTATACAACATCCCTGGACTAGAGAATCTGGGATCAAAAACAGTCCTGTCTCACAGAGCAGACAATGTAAAACAAGTGCTTCTTCTAACAAAATTATTTCCAAACCAACTATATTACTGCTTCTGTAGCAATGAAAGTATCTTGAGATATCTGTAGCAATAAAATACCTTAAGAGAAATTGAGAGAAGTCTCTGAAATCTTTTATTTTTCTAAGAAAATTTACTATTATGTTTATAACCACTTGAAGTGATCTTTTTTTTTTTTTTTTTTTTTTC